TGATTAGTGGGCTGGGAGTCCACCCCTCTGTCCATGCTCTGGCTCCTGGTTCTGCTGCTGCTCCCCAGATGTTATAGTTGTCTCCCGTATCCAGGAGGCTCCATGAATAGGGATCGTGAGTCCAGAGAATGTGTTTCATTCCTTACTCCTGCTAGTAATGAGATCCTTCCTTCTGCTTCTCAGAGGGCTCATTTTATACACAGTAGGATGGCAAGTCAGGGAATCTTGTTCATAATTATTCACAGGTGGATCCTAGCCATATGTCCTTCTACCCTTTCACTAGACCCATGCAGAGAAAGGTCATTTGGTGGGAATTAGAGACTTGGGCTAGGAGAACCACACTAAATAATTCACTGCCTCTGTAATCTTTATGGAAACAGACTGTGAGATCTTACTCTTGTGGAGTGGCTGGTGAATTTGAACCACCTACAGTCAAGCGTTTTAATCAGCGTGCTTCCAGGGCTCCTTGAAAAATAAATAACATGAATACAATAGTGGCTTGAGCAAAATGCTTATTTCTCCTCCACCTCAAAGTTTTTAGGTCTGCAGATTAATAGTTCCTAGTGTCATTTGTTGTTGTCCCTCATTCTGTTCACAAATGACTGAAACAGTACTGGGTCCTTCGCCATCACTATAATCAGTTGTGGATCAGAGCATTGTGATTACTAGGCTTTCATTCTAGTCTGTGTTAGTCTGGAAGCTCTACTGAAAGTTGTTCAGCATCATAGCAACATACAAACACCTCCAATGACAGATGGGGGTGTGCGTGGCTCATGAAGGACATTGGTCAAGAAGGGAACCTAGGTCTCCTGTGATACAGGTGAGAAGTCTGTCCTTGAACCACCAATGCTCCCTGTCTAATCTCTTTCGGGGCCTGGTTTCCTTCCAACCATTCTCCAAGGTCCAAGTTAGCGCAGGATGAAGAGGAAAAGGCACGGGGCTGACTGTCTCATAAAGGAAGTTGCCAGCACTTCTGTATGCGATGTTTATTATATCTAATTGGCTAGAATATAATCAGGAGGCCACACTCAGCTGCAGTGAAACATGGGAAATGCAGTCTTTATTCTCAGCAGCCACGGACTCAGCTAAAGCTCTTATCGTGGGGAAAAAGAAAGAGATTTTTCGGGTCTTTGTGAGAATCTGCATGAGCATTGCCTTGTTAACTTGTGAATAGAAGAATTACTAGGCTAGAAATGATGCCCTTTTCAAGGCTTTTGATGCATATCGATAAATTTTTCTTCAGAAGCTTGGAACACATTTACATGTCCATGCACTTACATGAATCCTTATTAGCAAACACCAACACAATCAATAACCAATCCATTCATTCCGTGCTTACTGTATGGTTTGCTGCTGTGCGTAATAAAGCACTCCATGTCTGATGGACTTGGACTCTTCCAGCTACAAGTGATAGGCAGCCAATGAAGAATGTTGAACTTAATGAAATGCTATGGTGATTTACTAAAGGCAAGGGGACTGTATCGCATATATTGGAATCTGGCCTTGGAGAATTAAAAAGGAAGTCCTTTTGAAGAGGAATGGGAGAAGAGGGCTACATAGATAGGTATGGGGAGATTAAGGCCTAGAGAGAAAAGATCAACGGGGATGTGATGTTCCTTTATGGAGGGCCTTTAATAACACGTTCTCCTCAGATGCTACATCCCAGGTGTCCTGCATTTCCAGACAGTCTGGCTGGGTATTTCCATCAAATTGACTCCCGGCAGCCCACTGCAGGCAGAGCTGCTTCTTTGGGTTTTCAGGGATGTGACTTCTGGAAGCAGATAGCCAGACCTGTGACATATATGTTTATAAATGTGTATCTTAGGCTTGAGGAAATGAAGGTTCGGAGAGGTAGAGTTACCAAAGTTAGAGGCAAAGCTAGGGTTTATACCCTATGAGAAAACGTCAAAGCTTAGTTTGAAGAATGAATTGATAAAAGCGCATTTGGTAGAATATTTGAATTAACTTAAGAAAGAAGAAGCTATTATAAAATTGTGTTGTTATGTTTGAGCCCATTGCTGTAGCCCTTGTTCACTGACCCTCTAGGTTACGAAGCATGATATCCTTTTCCAGGGTTTGGTCTCTCCTGATAAAGTATATAAAGCACTTTCAGACTAAGTACATAAGAAGAAGTCTTGCCATACTTGCTTCTAACAAGCATTCTGGCGGTTCCTCCAAGACAGATGTATTTGTTCTTCCAGCGGCCTGTGGCACTTCCAATCTTGTTCACTAAAATCAGAATCCAAAAGCATCAATCCTTCTTTGGTCTGTCTGCCTTCTTCACTGTCTAAGAAAGAATTACATAGAATAAAAATGAAGTGTGGTAGGAGGGAGATAAGACCCCATGAAATTACACCTCTTCTAGACCTTGGTCACTTTCTCATAGTATCCTATGTTCACCTGTAGGATACATAGTTCTTATTACTATCATGTTTGTCCATTTACTTTGTTGTTTCCCTGCTAGGCTTACATCTTTGGTTCTAGGTACCAGGTCTTTCACAACCTTGTATTTCCAGGGCTCAACACAAAGCTTGGGACACCTGTGGTTAAAAATATTTGCTGAATTACTATACAAGGAATGTTTTCATTTTATACATGTATATATATATACAAACACACCTATACACATGAATATGTATGTGTATTCAATGAAAGAGAAATTTTTATTATGATGATGCAAAATATGAAGAGGTGTAATAATAACCAGACTTGTATACAATCATGATCCTGAGCATGGCTATAAAGAAAATGTTATGACAATCTGTGAACAATATTGAGTATCTACAATACTACATGTTTGATATTGCGTAAGAAAGACCGTAGAAGAACGGCTGCAGGGACTGTTGGAAGGACAACCGGGTCTGTCTTGGATGACGAAAGGCCAGAGTGCTCCTTGGAAGCAAGGATGGCAAGACTTCTCTTGCGTATTTTGGACATATTATCAGGAGAGACCAGTCCCAGGAGAAAGACCTTATGTTTGGTCAAATGGAGGGGCAGTGAAGAAGAGTAAGAAGGTGAGATGGATCGACACAGTGGCTGCCTCAATGGGCTCAGGTTTAGGAACAATTGTGAGGATGTATTTCGTTCTGTTGTGCATGGTACCTAACAACACACTACAACATATCAGACTGTTTGAACATTAAACAGTTTATTTTTAATTTTATTCTCACAAATCTTATGAGTGAAGTAAACAACATCTTTTGAGGGTAATACAATTATTATCTCCGTTTTAAAAACAGGAATATGGAGACCCAATAAGGCGAGGTGGTTTTGTTTTAAAATTTGGGTGGAACAACTAGGCTATTTTTCACTTCACCATGATTTCAAATGTTTTATTAGGATCTTTTCTCCCATGGCTCTACAGGAGCATCTTCGACCGAAAATTCGTAGATTCTTACTCCGCTGCTTGTCTGTCACGGGGAACTTCTTATCTACTGAAGACACAGACTCTTTTCAAGAGGACCCTACATGTTTTAATTGCACTTTCATACCTGATTAACCTCCCTCCCTAAACCGAACATCCCTAAAACCAAAACCGATCCGAAATTTGCAATCAGTATTGGTCGCCACCCATTTAATAACTAGGTCATAGGTTAGTTTTTTGTTTTTTTTTTGCCTCCTAAAACACAAGCAAGGGGTCCTAGGTGACTTCCGGGCTCCAGGCGCATTCCCAGGGATTTCTGGAGCTCCGAGACCTGCATCCTCCGCCACTCCGCCGCCCTGTCGCCTGCGAAACTACACTTCCCATCGGGCTGTGCGTCAGCCACGTAGGCGCGCCCCGGAGGCGTCTCGGAAAACCGGAGGGCGCTCTGCGGTGCTGCGTGGGTGGGAAAAGTGAAGAGCGGACGAGCGAGGCCTACCTGTGCCCACGCGCCCTGAAATGGCTCGGAGGCAGGACGAGCGGAGAGGGGGCGCGCCCTTGATGGCGGAAGGCACGTCGGACATGGCGGTTAAGCTTATTCTGTACCACTGGACGCATTCCTTCAGCTCTCAAAAGGTAAAGGCCGGGGCCCGCGGCGCGGATCGGTTTTCAGCACTAGGACAGCTCCCCGCGGATCTGGGCCGGGCCCTTGGGAGACCGTCTCCTCGCGGCCCAGGCTCCCCGGAGGGCAAGGGTGCTGGTCGGCGGGGCGTGGGGCCGAGGGGGAGGAGAGAACTGTCCGAGGAAGAAGGGCTGTGATCAGGTCAAAGAAAGCATCACTTGATTAATTGTGCCGGAGGCCTCCTTTGCTGGCCCTTGGTGAGCGAGGCCGAGGGCAGCGCTTCCACTTCGATCAGTAACCTAGGATTCCTTTTCCTTCTGGAGCCCCTCACTCTCTTCAACGAGGCTCTACACGCCTGTACTTCCGGTTCTTGTCTGGGGGAGGACGCATAATGAACTAGGTTTAGGGCCCACAGTGGGGTAGTGACGGTGGGGTAGGGGTGGAGGACAGCAGTGTAACGAATATACAAAGAATCGTTTCCGTTACTTATTTTAACCTTTTCGAGTGATAAGCCTCAAGCCCTAACTTATACCTCACTAGTTACTTCAAGAGATTGGTTAAATCTACGTTGGTTTAAAAATATTGAAAATACCACTAACCCAGGACCAGGAGGTCAGTTCACTGAAAGCCTGCATCCAGTGTAACCAGTGTGAACTCTTTCAGGTGCGCTTGGTAATTGCTGAAAAGGCATTGAAGTGCGAGGAACATGATGTAAGTCTGCCCCTGAGTGAGCACAATGAGCCTTGGTTTATGCGTTTGAACTCAACTGGAGAAGTGCCTGTCCTTATCCACGGGGAAAACATTATTTGTGAGGCCACTCAGATCGTTGATTATCTTGAACAGACTTTCCTGGATGGTAATGTGAAGGCTATTTGTGATTTTTTGGATCTAATTTCAACACAAATATATGTGCTGTTCTCTCTCTCTCTCTCTGTCTCCCTTTCTCTCTCTTTCTCATGGTAAAAATCTTTTCCATTTCCATTAGCACACATATATAGGGCAAGTAAAATCAACATAAAATTGGCGTTAGCCACTGCAATTCTATTTAAAAGAATTTTAGTTGTATTTCAGATTTTAATGTTGAAACTTCCCTCTTAAATACACTTTCCAAAAACCCGGCAGATGTTTGGTTTGTGGTGGTGATTCATTAGGTTTGAAGTCAAATTTATAATATTGATTCCAAATGTGCACTCTGAAAATAAATTATAAGTAGTTTAGTGAAGTGGTTATTTCCTTAAGTGGCTTCATCTTAAAAACAATAAGATGAAAAAGAGGAATTAATTATAGGCAAGGGTAAACAATATATTGGTAAACTTTGAATTCTGTACCCCTGGTGCTTCTGCGTACTCTTGGGTAAGAGTTGGACTGATAATCACAAGATTGACAGTTTCAACCCAACAGCTGCTGCTTGAGAGAAAGATGTCACTCTATGGGGAATCCTATATGGGGTAGTTTGAGTTGGGACCTACTTGATGGTGGCGGGTTTTGTTTGCTTGCCACTTCTGTAGAGTGTGTATTTTTATATTGTCCCTAGAAGAGTTTAGGGTGAAGTCAACTGCCATTGAGTTGATTCCATCTCATATCAACCTTATAGAGGACTCCCTGTAGGGTTTCTGTAACTATAAATCTCCACAGGACCAGACAGCATCTCTCTTCCAAAGAGTTAGTAATCTTGCACTGCCTACCTTGTGGCTAGCAGCCCAATGCTTAACTTACAGAGCCACCAGAGCTCTTTAGATTTGTGTATAGTTTAAAAATAGTAACTATTTATTGACAGCCTGCAATATGTTAAGCATTTTATAAATTCGGTTCTATTCTGTCTTCCAAAGACCCATGCAAGACAGGTGAGGTAGATGAATCATTGCCAGTTTGTATGTAAAGAAAAACAAGTTTTCAACAGAGATATACCGCTTTAAATATATATATTGCAGAGTAGGGCTGGATGCAAATCTTGCATCTACAAAACCTTGCACTACAGTGACCGACTTCTATAATTATTACCACTTATGCATTCTCTCACTTGTTTATATGACAGCCTCAGGGTAAACTGTAGCTTAAAGGATTTGCCCAAGATTGCATAGCTGACCACTGGCCACATGAGCAGTTTCTCTGGGTTCCCATAGCACACTATGCTAAAATTTTCAACACTTCTGTTCTTTCCCAGTAAATTGTAGGCTGCTTGAGGGCAGGAACTGAGAACTGATTACTTACCCCCCGACCCCCACTCACTTTAATTTTGTGCCTGGCACATGGTGCTCAGAATAGTTTGATAAATGAGTTATTGAAATTACGCCCAAGTTTAGGTAATTTTCACGGCCTTACAGTTTTGCAAGAAGATTGAGTGGAAGACTGTACTTACGCTTTTCAAAAGTTGCACAAAGATCTGCTTATCTCCATCTGTCACCAGTTGTGTTAATTGGACAAGATGAAGCCAGAATATAACCTCAAATTGCTGGAAGATAACTGAGAAAGGAAATGACTAGGTATAAAGAAATAGAAATGGGTCTGAGGTACTAATGGAAAATTGGAGTGTGAGGCCTGAAGTGAGAAACCCCGCCCCTGGAAATAGATTGGCAATGAACTAATCCCTACTTTCATGATTAGAAATTTTAATTAAAAAAAAAAAGAAATTTTAATTAAAGAGGGCCACTACTGATCCAAACCAATGAGTCTAAGGAATTGCTTTCTCCTTTATTATTACTTGCTATGACTTATAAACCTATATAACCAAAAACCAAACTCACTGCCACCGAGTCAATGCTGACTCCTAGCTACCCGCTGTGGGTTTTCAAGACTCACTTTTTCAGGAGTAGAAAGTCCAATCTTTCTTATGCAGAGCTGTTGGTGGTTTCGAACTGCCAACCATGCAGATCTCACAGCCCAATGAATTTAATATTGGGTATTAAATTAAAATGGTGACTAATTGATTTATGACCATTTTTTTAACCTTGAGCTTTTTGGAAATGGATAAGTCTGTTAAATAATTTGTATTTCGTGGGGGGTGGGTCATGACTGTAATAATCTGAGTAAAGCAAAATAACTATTAGAATTTTATTTTAAATAATTAAAAATTTTAAAAAGACACAAGTGAAAAATCATGTTTGAATCTTTTGGTAGCATTATCTATGCTTTCTCTTCCTTTTCCTCTCTCCCTCCCCCTCTCCTTCCTTTAATTCTTTCTCCTTCCATTTTTTTTCTGCAATAAGTAATCCAATGATATACAATATACTTTATAAAATAGTAATGTTTCTGATTATAAAGTTCATTACAATTGTGATTATTTCTTAGAATCTCTTTAGGCTTTCTCTCATTTTTATTGTGCAATAACAACAAAACAAATATATTTAGAGTCTTGATAAATTATAATTAAATAACCAATCTTTTATTATTGTTTAATCAGAAGAAAGGGTATCATGGGTTAAACAGTAGATGGACCGCTAGGAACTATAGACTTTAATTCTGACAGATCCATTAGAAGGAGTTAACCATCAGGAATCCTAGTGCTTATTCTGATAGTGAGATTCATTTGTATATCCTTGATGAGATGACTTCTGGACTCGTCCTTTTGGATTAAGTGATGCTGTTTTAGCCATTGGAACAATAAAAGCAAGTACATCAACTCTTATTGCACTTAGTCTTCTCTCTCAAGAGTTGGAAAGGGTTAAAAAAAAGGATTAAGATTAAGGAACCTGAAACCTACAGTGCTACAAAGACCGCAAGGGAATACTTAGTGATATAAATGAAGACTAGTCTATTCTACAGGTCCAGATGAAGTCTTTTTCCAGAGTATTGAAATTACGAAGAAGAAGAAAAAAGCATGTACATGTTATCACACTTATCATTAAGACACGTCATTTTTTAATTTTTAAAACTGGGGACTAGGAAAACAGCCAGCAAAAAGCAAATTATATTCCAGTGTCAAAAAGGGAGGAAGGTGAATCTGACAAATCCTTGTTGCTGGAAGCTTGCTCCCTGGGGCTGAGCCTCCCCTGGGAGCTTGTGAAGCAGAAATACAGAGGCGTCGACGTCACTGTACGTCTGTTGGGTTAGAAACTGCACTGTAACAAGATCTCCAGTTAACTGTCTTTATTAAAGCTTGAGAAGCATTACGATAAATTACTGTGCATTTAAGTAATTGTTCAAATTTCAAGTGCCACTATAAATTGTTCTCATTACTTTTGGTAGATTTGTAGAATGAATTGTTAAATTATTGCTTTTTTATTTGAAAGCATTTTTTCAGTATCTCCGAAAAAATTTAATGTTAATTCTCTTACATTCCTTTGGAATCTTCCAGTATTTAACAAACCTATATGCCAAGCAGATAATAGCTATAGTTTTAGATATGGTAGTACTACCACTTGCCCATTTGCTATTGAATTGACTTAAAGCAGATTCATGGAGACTCCATGTGTGTCAGAGGAGAAGTGTGCTCCATCGAGTCTTTGATGGTTGATTTTTCGGAAGTAGATAGTTTGTCAAGACTTTCTTCTGAGTTGCATCTGGGTGAGATGATACACCAACCTTTCAGTAAGTGTCTGTGTGTGTTAACCATTTGTACTACCCGGGGACATCCAGCTACATTTAAATTTTTCATATAAATATGATTACGGAATATAAACCCATTTTAGAGAAAACATTTTTATCAGTATAGATAACACATTCTGAAGTCAAAATTCTATTTAAAATTCAGTTATTTATTTAATGAAGTGGAGTCCCAGAGTGGTGCACATGGCTAATGTGCTTGCCTGCCAACCTCAGGCTAATGGTTTGAGTCCACCCAAAGCACTGTAGAAGACGGGGCTGGCCATCGACTTCAGGAAATCAACCAATGAAAAGCCTGACCGCAAACCTCCAGCCCCAAACACATGGACCTTTTTACCCCTAAGGACACAATCACCCTGAGATATCAATTCCCCGATTTCACTGCTTTACCCCTGTGAATCTTCTATGACGTTCCCTCTCCTGAATGAGGTAGCCAACCAGGAAGAGATCCTCTCTCTCGCTCTCTGAAAGTGTGGTAGCAGAAGCATTCTGTTACAAGGTGAAAAAATGAAAGAAAGAGATGGGATTGAGAGGGGAAACTTAAAGTATCAATTGAAGAGAATTCCCAAGTCTCTTTTGGAAAATGCAGTTTTCAGAGCAGGTGGACCCTGTGGTACTCTTGTGTGAGGAGGAGGAAGACCAGGGCATGTTGCACAAGGGATGCTGGGCAGGCTGTTTTGGGAAGAGTACAAGGGGAGAGAGTGAGGCAGAAACGGAGCTTATGCTCAGTGGGTGTTTGTGCTCGTATGACAGAGTTTTTCAGAGAGGCGGTTTATTTGTAGTCATGGACCACTGAGTAAAATAAAAATATTTCCACGAACCTAAACATTTGCCCTCCTTTGAAGAACTCTGGCTTGGCCAGATGGAACTTCTCCAGAAATCAAATAGACATTATTTGACCTACCATAGTTGACTTTATAAGATGAAATGTCATGCTCTCTGGAGACAAGCCGTGAACAGTTGCCAGAGCCAGTAGTCGGTCGGTACAGTGAGGAATTTGGGAAGCATTTTGAAATGTATTATTAATGATAAAATCAGGGTTATTAAACCACGGTCTTTGAGTTTATAAAGCAGTTACTCTAGAATCTCTTAGCTTCAGAATCCTTTTGTAGTCTTATCCTAACATTTCTATCAACATTTATAATATTATAAATTAAAATGAAGAAAAATTTGAAACATGGGACATGTTCCATTACCTTTCAGATTTATAAAATCATTATATGTCTTAGTGTCTCTGATATATTCTGTTGTACATACAGAGAAAATAAGAGTGAAAAATTAAATTAATATCTTAGTATTGTAAAATAGTTTTTAATTTGTAGACCCTTAAACCAGGGGCCCGGTTGAAGTACTGAATTTAGGATATGTGAATTACATGCCAAAGAAACTGTGTTGAAAACAAAAACTCAAGGGCCCTCAGATTATACTTTGAAAACAGCTGCTTTAAAAGGCCTGTTAAGAGAATTTAGGGAATTTGAGACTTAAAAAAACATTTGAGATCTTTTATAGGCAAAATTTACATCTTTATTTTTACCACTACGTGCATCTAACAAATTTTTTATTTCATTCCATTACCAATGTAGGCATAATCCAGAGCAATATTAGGAGCACTGTGACTTTGTTACCATTAGAAATCACTGATATGTTCATAGCCTATTAAGTAGTGTAGATATCTTGAAATATCACTTCTGCTCATGACTAGTTTGAAATTATCATAGTTTCTTGACATATCACTAGATATTAGTAATGTATTAAAAAGGAAGTACAGATATTATTATTTTATAACTTATTTTCATACTTGTGTTTTGATATATTTTTTTGTAGTTTTATGTCTTATATTTTATGCATTAAAATACATTGTTTTGAGAAGGGATCCAGTTACCAAGATGCCAAATAGATCCCTGGCCTAAAAAGTTTAAGAAATCTGTAATTTTAGGGACCTGAGATGACTTCCATAGACTCCAAAGATGACTTCCATAGACTCCAAAGTAGACTTCCAGCCTACTTTTTCTCAAGGAAATGTCGACTATGTGTTGTTTGGGATCCCAGTTGCTTAGGATAGTTGGGATTCTGAGAGGTCTATCTGAGTAACGCTTCGATCTTGGCGTTGACAGACTGGTTGGCACAGAGACTCTTCCCTGTGTCCTCTCCATATGTCATGCTACTGTAGTGCTGTAAATCCACTATCGAGGAGCATCTGTAGCAGATGTCTTCCTTCCTAGCTAGTTTAGAATTAGATTGCTCAACAGGGAACTAGATGTTCAGTTTGGAGAGTGAGCTATGTCTATGTTCCTCTTTTGAAGTTGAGTTAGTGATAGTCTCTTGGCCTAAAAGATGTATTCTCCTAGTTCACCAGAGACTCCAGCTAAATCATTCTGTTTCCATCCGCTTGGCATTATACGGTCTTGTCTGAAATGCTCTGCCAAGGACATCCAACTCAGAATTGTCGACACTTAAAATAAGGACGGGTTGCTCAGAGATTTCTGAGCTAATCAGACCAAGAAAGAAGGGCATACAGGAGGTGGAGACTGTGCTTCTCCCCAGCTGGAACAAGCAATGCAACTGTGTCCAAAGCATTTTCCATTCCATAGATGTGGTTATTTCACACTGGTCTGATCTGATTGGGGGCATCAGGCCATTTGCATATTTTGAGGGCCTGAACTGGAGAGACAGTTTCTTGTAAGTGCCCCGATATAATGTTGAAAATGGTGATAAGGAGAAGTTTGTGTTTTTTTGTCTTTGCTTTGGGTGTAATATCTCATTTAAAAATTTTAATTTAATGTATGTATGTGTTTGTGTGTGCATTTTAGAAAAAACACCCAGGTTAATGCCTGATAAAGAGAGCATGTATTACCCACGGGTACAACATTACCGAGAGCTACTTGACTCCTTGCCAATGGATGCCTATACCCATGGCTGCATTTTGCACCCTGAACTGACCGTGGACTCTATGATCCCAGCTTATGCAACAACAAGGATTCGCAGTATGTGAAAATCTGTTTCTATTCACTCATTTCTTATGAAACCTACTATGATAGTCATTGAGAGAAGGCTGGGTGGTTGAATTCTTCACGGAGGTGCATGCAACAGTCTGATTAGTCTGTGCTTCAACTGTTCAACTGAATGGTATAGCACTTTAATTGTTTGTAGACCCTCTTTTTCATCTCTTGGCCCTGAGGGCCACACTTGGATAAATTTCGAAGAATGGCTTGTAGAAAATCAAAGAATCTGTTTCCATGGACAGAGGTATTGGAAATCAGGAAATCTGGGAAGTGCTAGGAATAAGTGTAACTGAGTTAATATGTTTGGTTGTAGTATTACTTTCCATTATATGAATGAGCTAGACTCCCAGTGTCTAAGAATTGTTCTACTGCTAAATTCAATGATTACAGATTTATTAAGATTGATTGATAATATCCAGCTCTTTCACTTATTCTTACCATGAAATAGTAGAGGCAGTAACTGCGATGGAAATCAGAAGGAACCATGCTTTACAGCGCAAGTAGTTGGAGATAGAAAAGTAAGGAAAATATGACAGAATAATAATAATTTATAAATTATCAAGGGCTCATGAGGGAAGGGGGAGTGGGGAGGGAGGGGAAAAATGAGGAACTGATGCCAGGGGTGGAGAGCAAATGTTTTGAGAATGATGTACAAATGTGCTTTACACAATTGATGTATGTATGGATTGTGATAAGAGTTGTATGAGCCCCTAATAAAACGATAAAAAAAAAAACAAATTAAAAAGAAAGAAAAGAAAATACCATGGCTTTAGTCCTCAAATGATCATACTTTAAAGAAGTCTTGTCAGCCAATTTTTCTAATGCTGTGCATCTTTTGATCTCCTGACTGCTGCTTCCATAAGCAACAATCAAGGATTCAAGCAAGATGAAATCCTTGACAACTTCCATCTTTTTTCTGTTTAGCATGATGTTAGCTATTAGTCCAATGGTGAGGATGTTGCTTTTCTATAAATTGAGTTGTAATTCATAATAAAGGCTGTAAACCTTGAAAAATAAATAAGGAAAAGGGTCAATGAGAAAATTCTGGGATATTTGACTAGGAACATGGGTTCTTGGTCAAGTGACAAACTATGTCAATCTAGGGTTCTGGACTCATAGCTACACATGCAGCCCTACTATTTCTCATGTTACCTGGAAGAGCAGTCTTACAAATTTAAAGACGTTCTTAGCACCTGTCTATCCTCCCATCCATCTCTGGATCAACCCTCCACTCCACTGATCACAGATCTTTAGTCTTCACAACACGTTGCTGGAATTTGATAATTTCCTTCCATCCCCTATTTTAAGATATTGAAATGAGTCTATGAAAGTTTAAGGAGCTTTTCCAAAGCCACACTACTCATCAGTGATTGAGTTAGACTTCAAATTCAAGTGCTTTAAAGCTCAAAACTGTTCTTTCCATTCCATTATCTTATCCAGCCAGTTATATTTCTTTTTGATATAACTCCTACTGTCTTTTCTTACCTTTCCTACCCTTCTTCTTTGCCATTTTCTTACTCCATACATTTTCCTCTCCTCTCTTCTTCCCTTGTCTTTTTTCTCCCTTTCTCTCCCTTCCCACCCCCTCCTGCTCCTCCCATACCCCTTGTTCCATTTCTTTCCCACAAATACTAGTTATATGATTTGAAACATATGTCTTGGCTACAATTCTGTCACCTATATTTATTATTTTTAAATAAGACTTTGCCCCTCCAATAGAAATTTATTACATAAAATTTTCAAAGAATGGAAAATAGAACAACCAGACTCCACTGAGCGCTTGTTATGTGCCCAGCACCAGTCTAAGCTATGTTCATGGTGTTTCTCATTTAAGTCTCATCCTATGAAGAAGATTCTCTTATGCTTCCTTTTAGTAGATGAGAAAACTGAGGCACGAGAGAAGAAGTCCAAGGCGGAGGCAGCTTTGAACTTGGTGTCTTAATTCCTCTTCTCTTTGTTTCTATAGAAGGGAGAAAATATATCTTTTCCTTATTTAAGAAAGTGTTCTTATTATCAGGTCAAATAGGTAACACAGAATCTGAACTGAAGAAACTAGCTGAAGAAAATCCGGATTTACAGGAGGCATACATTGCAAAGCAAAAGCGCCTTAAAGTAAGTAAACCTGGGCTCCCTTCACTTGACCTCCATTTCTTAAAAATCATTTTACTGGGGCTCTTACAACATTCCATACATTAATTGTATCAATAATATTTGTGCATATGTTTTCCATCATTTCCAAACCATTATCTACTTGAGCCCTTGGTATAAGCTCCTTCCACCCTTGTGAATCCTCGATCGATTTTATATTGTTATTATTATTTCATATCTTACACACTCCATTGTCTCCCTTCACCCACATTTCTGTTGTTCGTCCCCTTTGGGGGAGGGGGCTGTATATCCAACCTTGTGATGGGTTCCCCCTTCCTCCCCTTTCCCCCTCTTCGACCTACCCTCATGATCTGGATACTCCCACTACTGTTCCTGAGGGATTTAACTGTCCTGAATTCCATGATTGACATCCATTTTTAAAATTAAATTTTCCATTTTAAAAATAACCACTGTATCGAGAAAATATTCCATCAGAAGTAAGAATTTGCTAGTGCAGTTTTGGCTTATGCTCTGATTTTTGAAATTATTATTCTTATTAGATTTGATATTCAAATTTAATAGAAATTGTTTAAAAAGCAGATGTCATATATACTTGTTGCCAAGGAAAGCTATGAAATATAAAAGCAAGTTAATGAACTATCTTAGGCTGGGTTTTCTAAAGAAGCAAAACCAGTGACAGACACACACATACCCACACAATTGGATAACCAGGAAATTGCTCACCCAGATGTAGGAGCAGGCTAGTCCAAGTCCAAGCAGGTTCCAAGCCCATGGGTCAGATGTTAGACAAGAGCCTTCTTCTGAGTAGCATTGCTGTTGAGGCTGATAAATCCAAGTTTGGCAGGAAGACCACAGGCTAGTGGCTGCAGAGGTGGATCAAGCCAAGGTCAGTAGGTCAAACTTACAACTAAAGATTTGAATGAATTCAAGGTTGGCAGGTCAGATGGCAAGCTTCTGAGGATTCCCAGAATTGGTAGGCAATATGTTGGCTCAAGTCCCTAGAACCAGATGAAGGATCCAGACCTAGCAAAAAGCACAGCGAGCTTTCTATAACATCCCTAAATTGGAAGGAGGTGACACCTCAAAGAAGAATCCCTTTTATTGTCGTTCCTGTTCCCCTCACCACTTCCTTCCCTTTCACAATTTCATGCCCACGGATCTCAGTGCCTACTAGCAGCACCCAAGGGCGGCGATGAGGATTTTTTAATAAAGGGCGTGTAGTCTAGTGCTATCGCAGTTGCCCCTTCAACTGGAATGGCGTTCTTCCGTTGGATATGAGAAGCATCTTCGTGTGTCGCTGTCCATGGCTGGCAGACAGACTCATGTGGCCCGACAGGAGATGTCGGGGAGTCCCGCAACTTTGTTCCCAAGTTTGCTTTTGTTTTGACAATGTTATCTTATTTCTTTAAAGTGTCCAGAATAAACAGGCTTCAATTCTTTAAGAATTTATATTTGTTTTGCTCTCTCTTCCTCTCTTTTTGATCCTTGTTTTAAAAATTAGTCAAGGCTACTTGACCATGACAATGTTAAATATTTGAAGAAAATTCTTGACGAATTAGAGAAAGTTCTGGATCAGGTTGAAACTGAATTGCAAAGAAGAAATGAAGAAACACCAGGTACGTTCTCCTTGTTATATACATTTTTCTTTAATACCAACTTTATTTATAGGAGCATCCTATTTTTAGCCAAAAACATTTTTATTCTTTTTTGTAATTTTAGTATAGTAGAAAAAAATTTTGAATTCAACAAAACCCAGGGCATCTAATTGTAGCCTTATCTGCATCTAAGCAAAATATAACTGGTGAGGGAATTTTCTGGGCAATTTAAATAATAGTTGGGAGATTATTTCTATAAAAGCCACTTGGAAATTTTGTAATTATACAAGTGAGTGTGGTTGAGTAACCTGAGCAAACTCCCCTCTAGGTTTTTCCTTAGGCTGGTGGGAGAGCAACTTTCAATCAAAAAGTTAAACACAGGTGGAGTGCTTGCATGCGCACGTCAGAGGGCGGGCTGGGGGCAGCCATGTCACCTGTAAGACGTTGCTGGGATGTGTTTACGTGGACCCCATGCGCTGCTCTAGCTGACAACAAAGTTGAAGTCCATGTGACCGGAAACCTGCTTTGCCCAAGGGGTTCTCTTCTGCTCAAATAAACAACCAAGTGCTAAAATCCAACCTGGTGGATTTTCCTAAAGTACACCTGCTGTTTTCAGAAACCAGAAAGAAATATCTGTTAACTTCTCTGGCTCTCAGCTCCTCAGAATCCTTGAGCTGAAGTAGAGTCTGTTTCACCTGGGGACCTAAGTCACCGACAGGTGTCACACATGTCTCCCTTAGCTTGGGAACCATTTGCATGAACTTAAAATTTTTTTTTTTTGGTAGCATGAAATGAGTCTCTGAGGGTGACTGTGAAGAAAACACACCGGGGTTTTCCATTTTACTGTCCTGCACCCACAGACCCCAGCCATGGGCTCTCTGTCCAATGCTTGCTCCTAATTCCCCCTGTCCCTTTCTCTGATCAGAAGAGGGCCGCCAGCCTTGGCTCTGTGGCGAATCCTTCACCCTGGCAGATGTCTCACTCGCTGTCACATTGCATCGACTGAAGTTCCTGGGGTTTGCGAGGAGAAACTGGGGAACCGGAAAGCGGCCAAACCTGGAAACCTATTACGAGCGTGTCTTGAAGAGAAAAACGTTTAACAAGGTTTTAGGACATGTCAACAATATATTAATCTCCGCGGTGCTGCCAACAGCATTCCGGGTAGCCAAGAAAAGGGCCCCAAAAGTTCTTGGCACCACCTTTGTGGTTGGTTTGCTTGCAGGAATGGGATACTTTGCTTTTATGCTTTTCAGAAAGAGACTTGGCCACATGATATTAGCCCTTAGACCAAGACCAAATTATTTCTAGGCTTATAGGGATCGGGTGGTGGCAATTCATCCAACCATTCAGCTAGACACTTGTCCGCTCTTCCAGGCCCACTGAAGAATTATCCTGGGCACGTAGCACAAGGCATACTTTACTTTACTCTTTGGGTAGTTGACGTGAGAAGAGCAGACTATGAAAATCGTTTTGTGGGCTGGCAACTTGGAGATTACATGTTTGCACATCGAAACGAACCCATTCTTAAAAAAAACGTGCAAGGTCAAGATAGTTCAATGCTGGCATGTAGAGAATAAACCTGTGACTTGAAATGCCAGTTCCAGTTCTGAATTGTCGAAGGGGAGCTTTTATGATGAGCAGAGGGTATTCACCACTTGTGTTTGCCCCTATCTCTTCATCCAAGACAGTCTGGAAGTGTTGAATGTTGAGTGGTATTCTACCCCGGGATTCAGAGGACCTCTTGGTTGCATGGTGTAGGTATTCAGACAGTAACAGGCCAGAGCTAATTTTAAGATAGAACTAGGGTGAAGGGAAAAAGGGGAAATGAAGTCTGTATTGTGCAGAGCCGTGAATCAGAAGTGGCAGTACCTCGATAGTAACTCAGAGTTGCCTGTCTCTCGGTATCCCTTCTCTTTGTGGGTGTTACCCACACACGCTCTTATAGCGAGACCCCTCAGAAGGAGCAGGCTAGGGAGTTACTGGAGGTCATGGACTGGAATGAAGCTTACGCTTTCCAATTGCCCACAACATTCATTTTACATGTATATGAACCATACTCAATCGAACAAGATTAGCTGCTTTTATATACTTGTTTGTGAGACGCCTGCAGGAATATGCTTGCCTAGCATTTATGTTAAAGTCTAAAGCAATTATAATAAAGTGATTCCTTACTTTTCCTCATAGTTCATCAAGTTGATGGTGCCTCTGAGACATCACTCCTATGGATCATAGTGTCCAGTCACTGTGGGGGTGGGGTGGACGGGGGATCCGGGTGCAGCGGGGGAAGGAGATTTTCCTCTGTAGCCTCTTTATACACAAAAGGGTCATCTTGAGGGGGTGTCCCAGCAATTCATCACAGCGTGTGTCTGGGAGTGGGCCTTTTGGGGATGTGGAGTACCAAATACTAAATACCTCCACTCTGAGGCTAATGCTACCACAGTCACTGTAATTCAGTCTTGCATCTGCTTATGGTCGGGAAGAAAGCCTTAAAGGGGGAGAGAGAAAGATCTAGTCTTAGCCCTTGACAATGAATTTGAGTAAACAAAATGAACAACAATAACAAAATCACTGCCCTCCAGTCTTTTAAAACTCATAACAACCCTGCAAGGACAGAGTAGAACTGACCGGCTGTGTTTCTGAGATTGTAAGTTCTTTTGAAAGCAGACCGCCACATCTAGTGGGCTGAAGCTGCCGACCATTCTGTTAGCAGTTCCAGCACTTTAACCGCTGTGTCCTGAGGGCACTTTGTCAATTAATTTAAAGGAGAGGCAAGAGTGGATAGTGATGTCAACTCATATTAATCATGAAGGTCTAGTTCTCTTTGGGGTATGTCATTCCATTTGGAAGGCAGTCTCTCAGTGTACCCCATGGACAACCATGGGACTACATCGGACGGTCAGCTTGGGTTGTGCACAAGGAAATGCTTTCCTGAGCCAGGAAGAGAGTTACTTTGGGGCTGGTTGTGAAGGCTTGGTGAGCAAGTTCAGGTTTCAGGTGGGTATCAGAGAGAGAAGATGAGGTAAAGCTCCAGTGAACTTAGAGCGCTTGCTGGGACGGCCGTTGGACGGCTAGGCTGAATGGCTGAAGAATGTATTGATTTTCTTCTAATACAAAACAGTCATACCTAAGACCCAAGGTTTTTTTTTAATGGTAAAACGAGTCTGACTGCATCTTGTAATTCCATTGTTTTAGAACGCCATGATGAACTGGATCTGCTCTGTTTACCCCAAATGACGAACCCCTGCAGAGCAAACTCGTTCATTGACAGTGGGTGGCTTACCAGCTTTTCAGTAGAGTGTCTCACTTTTTGTGGATTATTTGAGTCTATTGTTGCTGGAATGTTTATATGTAGTCATTGAAACCCACAGAACTGATTACTCTGTAGGTCACAGTGCCCCACAATTCTCCTACATTTTAGAAACAAGAATCCAGATACAAAGAAAGAAAAACCTGTGAAAAGGTCATTGAGCCTGGTGCCGGGTTTTCTTTCCTTTGATATTATTACTGGACCAGAAAGAATCCACTAGGATGTGGTGGTAATTTCCTTGTACAGTTTCATTGGAAATAGGTTGTTTTTTAATTAAAGGTGATCTATCGTGGTGATTTCAAGTACCCTATGAGTGCTTTCTGAGACCTGATGACACTGTTGGGCAAGCATTGGATTGCTAACTGCAAGGTCTATGGTTTAAACCTACTAGCCACTTCATGGGAGAAAGATGAGGCTCTCTCCTCCCTGAAGATTTACAACTTTAGAAATCCTGAGCAGGGTCAACATGAGTCAGCATAGACTCAGACGTGCAGTGTGTCTGGGTTTTCGTTCTGGTTGGAGTGCTGTTTAAGGTAGCCTGGTAGTACAGTGGATTACCAGGTGGGCTGTTAACCACAAGGTCAGCTGTTGGAAACCCAGCTGCTCCCAGGGAGAAAGATGAGGCTTTCTGCTCCCAGAAACACACAGGGGAAGCTCTACTCTGTCTTATACAGTAGACATGAGTTAATGGTAGTGAGAGGACAGTGACTATGTATATTTTTAGAACGATAGAATGGCCACCAGATGTCACTGTTCATCCAGTAGTCTATTATTGGGGATTTTTTAGGTTCAGCAAACCTTTGAGATGTTTCAAGTGACTGTAAACATTAGGAACCTTTATGTCTGAAGTGAGAGTATCTTCATCAGAACACTCATTAAACACTCATTAAAAAGCTTGGGGTACATACACTTGATTTCTAATGCTTTGGAAAAGTACACCATGCCCAGTAAAAGGTTGATCATATACTATACACTAAGTAGGTACTTTGCTGTGTTTTCTTTTTTTTTTTAATCAATTTATTGGGGCTCATACAATTCATCACAATACATAGATCAATTATGTAAAGCACATCTATACATTTGTTGCCCCCATCATTCCCAAAATTCGCTAGCCTCTAATTTTCCTTTTTTTCCCCCTCCCCTTCCCTTCCTCCTCCCCTCTCCCCCATGCACCCCTAATAATTTATAAATTATTATTGTATCTTATATTACACTGTCTGGCGTCTCCCTTCACCCACCCCTCCGCTGCCCGTCCCCCAGAGAGGAGGCCACACGTAGCTCCCTGTGATCCATTCCCCCCTACTACATCCCCTTTCCCTCCTGGTATCGCCACTGTCACCCCTGTTCATGAGAGGTTCCTCTGTCCTAGATTCCCTGCGTTCCCAATTCCCGTCTGTACCGCTGGCTGTGTTTTCTTTTTCATGAACATTGGTGACTGATGTGCCCCTCCGCAAAATTTGTATAACTATAACAATGAGAAAACCCCTCAAGTCACCGATGTTAAGTTGCCTACTTATGTCCTGAAACACAAAGACTACTTTATTGTTGTTGTAATTTTGTGCCTTTGAAATCATTTCCCATAAATGCAGATAGTTGTAATTTGCTTGCTTGTTTAAAATAAATAATTGTTGTTATTGACAAGAGTTGTAGATTTTTGGTATTGTTGAATGTAATATAGAGATCAATGGCATCAAGATGCTATTCTGCCTGTAAGATCAATTAAAGTAGTTGGAAAATAAATATGAATCTTAAAGCAAAGTTCTCATTTTGCCAGCTTTTTGAGAAGACACTAAAACATTTTCATTTGTCATTACTAAAGCCAGTTGCTCTCAAGTTGATTGGAAAGAGTAAAATCAGCAGAAGTTAGGCATCCTAAATACTTAGCTATAAGAGGTTTTAGTTTCCTTACAACATAAACATTGACTCATGATTCATTTCAGTTGTGTTAGACTGAGTTGTCTAGAGCAACAAGTCCAGTGACACTCATATATGCATAAGAAATAGCTTTCTATCAAGAAGAAATTATATATCACGAAGGTATCCCAGCCCAGTTCAACTCAAGTTCCTAAGTCCCATGCCAGCCCCTAAGTCCCTTTCCAGATTCACAGAGCTGCATGCCAGTGACACAATGGTGAACCGGAAGCAGAAGATCACAGAATGGTGGATGCAGTGTGGCGTGGCCCAAAGGAAGTATGGGAAGGCATCGACAGCTCTTAGGGTCAGGTGGACCAAAATGGGCCACCTGTGGACGCAGACACAGTCACAGTGAAGTCCCAGCGAGGAGGAAGTAAAGTGGCAGAAAGAAAGGCAGTTCCCAGAGTCCTTCATTCTCATATCAAAGGCCTCACTTCCAAAGAGGTATCATTAAGCTATCATGTGACTGACAGGTCGGCCCCCACCTCTAGACTAGTCAGGAGTGTCTACTTGACATAAGCATACATTATTTTAGAGTTAAAAGAATGGAAGTCTACAAAACAAGATCTTGATCTATGATTAAAGCAGTGTAGAGGCTAGAGCATGAAAACACACCAGGGGAGTTACTTAGCTTTGCAAAATCCCTTTGTTATATGCTTATTGGGTTTCAAATATTATGCTTATAATATGTATATTTTTACTGAGTTATAGCTTACACATATTCTATTCATCTTGCCTTTTCTAGCCGTGGTAAGCTTAGCCATTTTTTTTAGCCATTTCTTTAATCATTAAATAAATGTAGAGCAAGTGAATTGGAAATGAAATGGGCCTAGTCTCAGATTTTGTGAGTAAAAACTAAAGGTAACTCTAAATTCCAGTACAAAGGAAAATGTATACATAGCTGTGTAGTCTTCTCAGAAGCTAAGAACCTCACTATGGCAAAGAAACAAAGGTCAAATTAATACAATAAATTAAAAAAAACAGTACTTAGATAAAACATGAATTATGCCATACATTGGACCCTATTCATTTTTTGCTTCTCTGTAACAGTTGAGTTTTACTAGATGGGAGTAGTAGGTTCCGAGGCCAGTGAGGACGTATACTTTATGGTAAGAGTTTTAATTGTCTATTACATTATAAAATTTGTGATCAGAGTAACGTGAGCATGTGGGTGCATCAGCACGCACACAGAAAATGAGCTCACTTCACGGATTAGGAAGGGAGTGCAGTGATAAAAGCAATAACCTGTGTTGCATGAGTTGAGTCCTCATCTAGACTTTATTTTAGGTGGGGAGAAGGCTTGACAAATGAGTCAGAAGGTGGGATGTTAGAGCAGTCTCTATGGTTTTAGAAAAAAAGGTTCTAGAAATCTTAGGACAAAACACCAACACCATGGACCTTGATATGTACTCTTTGTATCAAGTATGATGGTACATCTCATCCTCAGCACTTTGTCATAACACTTTGGGAAGATTATGATTTATTGTTATCTTCAAATGTTTCATTTAATTGGAGTCACAATCAATGTTCATGGCAACAGCAGTCAAGAAATCAAACTATGCATTGCATTGGGTAAATCTGCATAAGACCGATTTAAAGTGTTAAAGAGCAAAAATGTCCCTTTTAGGACTAAGGTGTGCCTGACTGAAGCCATGGTATTTCACTCGCCTCATATAAACATGAAAGCTAGCCAATAAGGGTGCCTGGAGAAGAGTCGACAAAGAATTATGGTGTTGGTGAAGAATATTAAAAAGACTTTGAACTGCCATAATAACTCATGAAAGAAGTACAATCAGAATGTTCCTTAGAAGCCAAGATCACAGTGAGATTTCGTCTCATACTCTGGACATCAGGGGAGACCAGCCCCTGGAAAGGCACATCATGGTTGCTAGAGTGGAGGTGAGTGAAAAAAAGAAAGACTTGAGATGGATTGACACAGTAGCTGCAACAATCGGC